ACCAATTAACCTAATATTTTGCCTGAATTTTTTTTTCATATATACGAACAAAAGTAGGGTGGGCGAAGATATTTCCAAACTTCCAAAATTTGCACCACCCTAGTGTCTACGTCAGGGCGCATGTGCAAGCTTCGGATTCCCCCACCATTCTTCATTTGTCGCGCTAGTTTCGAACAGGCCGGTAGCACACGGTCGAGCTGCGGGGATAAAATGTTTGCAGGTTAAATGTTTTCTTCAACCTAACACTGGTAAATATTGCTAAAAGTTTTTCTTCTTCTTCTTTAAACATGTTGGTTAAATGTAAATGGTTTAAGTGCTTTCTTCTTTTAAAAACTTGGTTAAAATATTTGTGCACGTTTAAAACTCAGCATTTGCTCTTGTTTCGCTCAGGTACTGTATGCCTCTACTTAAATATTGTCTCTAGTTAAAAGTTTGGGACTTTGTCATTTGTGCTTAAAATATGGTGTTTCGCTCGGGCATGTCTCTACTTGTTTAAATTCCATCTGCTTTTCTTTCTTTCTTTTTAAATGTAACACTAAAGTTTGTCTTGCTTAAAACATTTTGGGGCTTTCTTCTTTTAAAATACGCCGGGCGCTTGTGCCCACTGCGGACGGACGGACGGAACCCCGCAGGACGTGTATGCCCTAGCTTACGTTCATCCTGCTATATGTTTCATTAATCCTTAATACGTAATGAAAAATAACACATTAATAAAATACATGTAATTTATTTTTATTCTATTAAAGTTTAAAGATAACCCTTATCTCCCCAAACCATACGGCCCCCTATCGGCAACACTTGGCATAAGCATGTATGATACCATTTGGCCAAAACCCCCCCCGACCAATCAGATAAAAGGATACGCCCACATCCGCTTATGACGTCACAGATGGGGGAGAGCTTTAAGCTCCGCCCAATGTACCACTTAACCTCTCTCCTGCCATTTTGGAGATGCTGTGACTCAGTCAACTAGCCATCACAATTTGGCCCTTATCAAACTTGCTTAGATCTTTATGCTTGCCCATTTTTCCTGCTTCCTGCACATCAAGAACTGACTGTTCACTTGCCTAATATATAATAACACCCGTGATGGGTGCTACTGTAATGAGCTAATTAACTGAATTAATTTCACCTGTAAATGGATTTAATTTTATGGCTGATCAGTAGTGCTGGGTGATAAAACGATCTTGATTTTTTTATCTATAAAAAATGAGGATGATCACGATGATACACACAGACTATAAAACTCGATCAACCAAGTTTGCTCCGTTTTAGAGAATAAGAACATAAGAACTATACAAACGAGAGGAGGCCATTCAGCCCATCGAGCTCGCTTGGGGAGAACTTAACTAATAGCTCAGAGTTGTTAATATCGTATCTAGCTCTGATTTAAAGGAACCCAAGGATTCAGCTTGCACTACGTTATCAGGAAGACTATTCCATACTCTGACTATACGTTGTGTAAAGAAGTGCTTCCTTAAATCCAGTTTGAAATGTCCCGCTAATTTCCACCTGTTCTTGTATTCTTCCACGAGTTCTTGTATTTGAACTAATGCTGAAGTAACTATTTGGTTGAACATCATCCAAACCTGTTACAATATTATAGACCTGGATCATGTCCCCCCTCAGTCTCCTTTGCTTGAGGCTGAACAGATTTAGCTCAACTAACCTTTCCTCGTATGACATTCCTCTAAGACCAGGAATCATTCTTGTGGCCCTACGCTGCACCTTTTCTAAGGCCGCAATGTCCTTTTTAAGATATGGTGACCAAACCTGCACACAATATTCTAGGTGAGGTCTCACCAAGCAATTGTATAATCTTAGCATTACCTCCCTTGACTTAAACTCCACACACCTGGAGATATACCCCAACATCCTATTGGCCTTTTTTATTGCTTCCCCGCACTGGCGAGAATGAGACATGGAAGTATCAACATACACACCAAGGTCTTTCTCATAATCAGCTACCTTTATTTCAGTAGGTCCCATAAAATACCTGTACTTTATATTTCTGCTCCCTACATGGAGTACCTTACATTTGTCTATGTTAAATTTCATCTGCCAGGTATCGGCCTAGTCACTAAATAAATCAAGATCCCGCTGTAGCTGCTGAGCCGCTAGTTCAGTATATGCTACACCACCCACCTTGGTGTCATCTGCAAATTTCACCAGTTTACTGTATATATTGGTGTCTATATCTTATGTAAATTAGAAACAATAGTGGTCCTAAAATTGAACCCTGCGGTACCCCACTATGAATGCAGGCCCACTGTGACATTGTGCCTCTTATAACTACCCGCTGCTTCCTATCTGTCAACCAGTTATCAATCCAGGTTGCTACAGTTCCTAAAATACCTGTCGCTTTGAGTTTAAGTAAGAGCCTCTTGTGGGGGACAACATCAAAAACCTTTTGGAAAGTCCTCTTGCACTTGCAATAATGTGCTTTTAAAAAAATCCCATGCCTCTTCAACAGTTTTGTTATTTAACTCCATCCAGTTCACGGTTTCTAGTTTTAATCTCATACAATTGAAGTTAGCCTTCCTAACATTATATATTTTGCGCTGAGACAGACAACTCGATGGCCTATCGAGCAGAGGTTTACTGAACGCCAGCAGAACAGCCAATCACCGACGACGTTGTAATTTTGCCCATCCTCCCTTAAAGAAGCGGTCTGTATAAACTGACTGCAGCCAAGTCGGACAACTTCTACTCCTCATAGTATGTGAGACCTGACTGCAATGGCAGCACTGCCAGAAGGGTGTAGATAAATCTATACAAATATCGTCTGCGTGCACATTACTTCTTTTACAATAACCAACTCCTGATACAAACTGTTAGCAGTGAATAAAAATATTGTGTATAAAAAAAGATCAAATACATCTATTTCAAAGATTCAAAGTTTTTATTGTCATGTACAGAGTACAAAGCAATTCTTACTTGAATGCCTTCTTCACAGACTGGACAATTAAACAAATAAAGCAGCGCAACATTATAGTAACTAACAATAAATAAACCACTAACTTACGTGAACTGTTAGAGCAATTATGTAATTTATTTAAACTTTATTTTACCAGGTAAATGAACTGAAAACCAGTTCTCACTGCTTTACATGCTTTTCGGGAGAAATAGCAGAACGCATTGGAACTTCCTGGGATACAAACGTCATGCATGTGCCCAGAGGTGATCCTAGGGTCTGTTGGTGCCCCAAGCAAAAATTCACTGGGGGGCCCCCCCTCTAACCAGTTTTTGTCGTCATTTTAATAAATAATCTGACATTAACAAAAAATTGTGAACAGTAAACTTTTTTTATTTCACAAGTTACCATTTTCAACAAGTTAATGGACTTTAAAATATGAAACCAGCTCTCGTTCGCCATCTAGTGGCTTGGGGGCCCCAAGCAACTGCCTGCCCTGCCTGCTGACAAGATGCGCCTCTGCGTGTGCCTAAAATCTTCAGCCAATAAGGGCAAAGTTATGTCGTCACGGAGGCAGTTTCAGTTTGTGCTGCACGGTCTGTCTCAAGTCGCCTTGCTCTCGCGAGCATTTTGTATCATGTGACATGGTGACGCGTGGTGACTTTTTGCAGCGCCAGACAAAAAAATTTAACCATGATTTGGCATTTTTTTTGAATAAGTGTTTTAGATACTTTTCTACCTCAGAATTTTAAAAAGTTTTTAAGAGACCAAGAATAGAGGAAGATACTTGTTGCAGTCAGTTCTGTCCTGCTTTATTTTATGTTTGTCCTTTAGCATATTTGCAATATTAATCAATTTTGCACATTGTTATATTATTATATGGTTTCCTTTGAGCTATGTTTCTTTGAATACTTGAAAATCAATAACCTTCTATAATTTTAAGGGAATTTTATATGTAAATAGTAAAATTTGTTGGAAAATAAGTATTTCTTTACTAATATTGTTTATTTCAATTTTTTCATTCTATTTGTCAGAATAGGGTTACTTTTATTATTATTTTGATTATTACATTATTACATGGAACAGCATTGTGAAACTATAATATTGATAATTATCGAAATTGATCAATACAGGAAAAAATATCGTGATATTTTTTTTGCCATATCGCCCAGCTCTACTGATACTCTACTGAAGCATAAGCATAAAGTTAATGAAATACCAATTTAAAGAGAAACTGATTACAATACTGACATAGGGTTAGAGGAGAAGGCTTAACTCACCATCAGAGGTGGCAGGCCATCCGGATTATTCCCCTTCCCAGAAGGTTCATCTGAAACGGGCCTCTTCTTAGACAAGGTTTGCTTGGGTATGAGCCGAGAGCTACTGAGGTTACTCACAGAGACTGACAGCACAAGTTCACTTTCCTTTCCGTGCTGAGGGTCGTCTTCTGCCAGTACGTACACATTATTATTATTCTTTGGTAAATTCTCTGTCACTGGCTTCTGGAGTGAATGTGATTGATGGATGAGTGCTTCAGGAATTGGGGTTTCAAGAGCTTGTTCATGGAGGTAGGCAGTGGGACATTCCACTATAGTATGATTTAGCATAGCCACATGCTGCTTGGAGTTGCCTGAGGAATTCTGCGACTGTGGTATAAGGCAGTCATTGTCATCCACAAATTCATCCTCTTCGCCACTACTGTGTACCAGCATCGTGGCATCTGACAGTGATTTCTTGTGTCTACACAGTAAATCCTGCGTGCTCTTCCCATTTTGGCTTTTAGTCCTCTCCAAAACAACATTCAGCTGGGAGCCTGAAGCCTGAACTTGGGGTAGGCTTGTCTCATTTCTTGATGTGCACATTGCTGTCTCTTTCATTCTAATACACTCTAAGCTATAGGCAAGGCCTGCAATGTCAATGCTATTCCGCTTCTTCATGTGGCCACGCTGTGCTGTAGTAAGCAGTTCACCCACCTCCTGCAGTGAATGGGCCACAGGAAGGCTATCTTCCTGGAACATCTGAACAGAGTGATGAACCCTGCGAGTAACCAGGTCAGGGTTACTGCTACTAACGTAATGATGGTGTGAAAGGTCAGGGGTGCTGTTTGCAGGCCGTGGGTAGGAGTAAGGGGGAGGTGGACAGTACACCTGAGTCCTCATGATATTAGGGGCAGGATAATCATGCGACTGTAGCTGCACATTGGTGAGCTCTGGGACACTCACAGCTCCAACCACAGGGCGTCGATCGCTTGGGTACTGGTATGGAGAAGGGCCATGGAAGCTGTAGTTGAGATGCAAATGGTACTGGCTAGTAAGCTGGCTCTGCTCACGGATTTCAGGCTGACTGTATACCAGAGGATCCGGTCGACTGTAAGCATAGGACCTGCCAATGTTTAGGTTCCGCATCGAGTGACTCTGGCGCTCTGAAGACCCCATGCCCAGCTTTTTTTGCTGCATGACTGTTTCATAGTCTGGTGTGGCACGGTAAGAGGGCGGAATGAGTGAGCTGCGGCGATAACATGGCATGTATTCTGACCGCAGTATATCATTCCCCGTGATGCTGGGGTTAGAAGACATGGGAGATGGCTGCAGGTAGTGCTGTGGGTTGTTTAGAGAGCTAGTGCTATGGGCACTGTATACACTTTCATTACAGACCTGCCCATTATATTCATTAGCGGAATGGTCCAAACTGGACTGGGACTGACAGAAGTAGCCATTCTGACTATCTGCAAAGAAACAAAGGCCAGCATTTTGGTGTATTGTTTTTATTTAACATCACAGACACTGTTATGAAGACATTGAACAAGAGCAGGAGCAAGAAATAAATGTTCACAATGTCACAGACATCCTGTACAAGTTCATGAGTTTTAGGGGGTATTGCTCCTGAAGCCTTATCAGAATGTTCACATAAGCTACCCAAAAAACATCATGTGCAACCCATCATACCTGGCACTCCATACCTGAAAACTACTGTGCTCTGTCATCTACTCATCACCAAAGTCCTATGCCACCAGAATATTGGTTTCTTATTACTAGATGGCCACAGAGCAAAGCTGTTGTTACCTCATAGATTTTTGTATATTTAAGTCCCTGCTACAGACTAGGTACTTTTCATTTGAACATAAACACTTACAGTGATAAACTTGCTGACTGGTTGACCAGTGCAGGGAAAAGAGACAGATGTAACGGAGCAAAATTAAGCAGAAATTATTTTTGTACCCCAGTTACATTTAATTTCGGAATCAGAAAATTTGACTGTTAACTAATACACTTTTGTCTAATATCACTGGTGCCAGCGGTGAAACTTGCCAGTGCTTATTAGTGGTGTAATCATCTTTTATTCTGCGGAAAATGAAAGAAGATGTGCTAGCTAGATTTTATAAGAATCATTAACATGCTGTGGGTTGTATAAATAATACATAAATAAAAGGACCCCCAATAACTAACAAAAAGACTTGCTTATCCTGCAGTATTTAGGGCAGTGTAGTTTCATATGAAATTATGTGTGAAATTTAACATACAAGCTTTTCACGTCACTCATGTTTATTTAGCATAAAGGTCCTAGTTGCTGTTGTGCGGTGTGAAAACGACACACAAAAGTCAGCAGGAGTTATAGTTCTAGGATGGTTATTGCCCAGGTACTTGTCAACAGGGACCAGGTTCTAGAACCTCAGTATAGCTCCTAATATATCAACAATCATGTATATGTAAAAGTAAAGATGCAAGGATGAGTTCAAAATATATGACCAAGAAAAAATTACCCCTTCACAATATGACTCCCTAATAAACAGGATTCCAGAAGCTTCCTTAAATTAGCCGATTGTTTCTTGCCTATAAGTAAGGGATTTATTCAGAAAATATTTGTACTTAGATGTACTACGTATGTCATTTATTTCAAATTTCTAGGAGATAATATAAATTCTCTCAGTGAAAAAGGATATTTCACAGTCAAGCCTGCAAATCTGATCTTTACCTTGAGACGTGTAGTGGCCATTGTAATTCATCTGAGGAGGGGGCATCATGTAGGTCTGGCCTTTGGCTTGATTTGCCTGCAGAAAATATAACAGATTGCTTATTATTATTTACATGCACCAATCAAAAGTTTAAATATACTTGTTGGAAATTATGGTAACACACAGAAATAATTTGCAAAGTTCATACAGACATAACACTTACATGCCTCACACAAGACAGTTTAAACAACACTGGAATTCAGTCATACACACACACAGGCTTACAAAACAATACAAGGTGTTTCTGTTGTAATTTTAAGAGCAGTACAAGAAGCATAGGATTATGTTTTAAAAAGTGCAAAGTTATTTAAGATAACTTGTTAAGCAAATATAATGAGATCAGGTCCAAAGTATGCAGAAGTTCAAAACGATTGCTGTTTGGTAACAGAATATACTAAATATATTTTTAGTCCTCTCCAAAACAACATTCAGCTGGGAGCCTGAAGCCTGAACTTGGGGTGGGCTTGTCTCGTCTCTTTCATTCTAATGTCTGTTTTTTTCATGTCATACGGTCAGAATTGTTCATTTACAAATATTATACCACGTGAAAACAAGCTATTTTGAAATCTGGATGGTTTCACCACAATGACCTGAAGTGCCTGCCAGTGGGAAGGAGGGAACAAAACATGAGAGCCACCAAAGAACCATTCCAGAGAATTGGAATGTATGCATCTTGGATTCTTCAACATAGCCACCATTTGCCTTGATAGCAGCTTCAGAAGTATGAGTCATTTGCCTAACAAGCTACAGCAGGAAATCATCCAGCATGCCTTCCCAGCTCTTCTGCAGCAATGCTTGATATGTAAGGCTCTTGCAGGTTGTTTTGCTTTGACTCTTCCGTCTGTTTCTTCCCATGCAAGTTTTGAGGGTTCGAGGTCTGCAGCCCGGGCTTGGCTGGTCCTTAGCTTGGGTTATTCTTCCCATATGTTCTTCCCCAGATTCACCTCAAAGTTCTGTGAGAACTACTTGAGGTTTTGGGATTGTTAACGTATTAAAGAATGGAATGGATTGCCCAATTAGCCATAATCCTGATGGAATGAGATATCTTTATAGTATGCTATGATAGTCATGCTAGTTCCATGGTTGCCAGCAAAGCAGCCCCAGACCATGTGGTACGAACTTCTGTACCACTAGGTAAATGATAACCTAAGCATAACTACCTATCAAAAGTCCAATTAAGCTGGTGTCCAAAAAAGATTTTGGCATGTATGAACCAGGGGGCACCAATGGATGGGGAAGTTCCATAGGTGATCAGTGGTCACCCTGACTCCAGCTGGAGGCCAGGTAGTTCACAAGCAACTCCCAACGCTCCTTCACACTATGGGCCAATATAATATATATCACAGGGGCAAGGAAGCCAAACTGGTGTCACCTTGTGGAAGGAGTGTGTTCATAGGCATGCCGTCTAGAGTACAGGGCACCTACAGTATCTATCCTAACACACAGTACTGCTTCCTCTGTTCTTGACAGTGACACACAGACACATGTAGAACTGTCACTCACCATCTCTGCATCTTACAAATACCTGACACTAGGATCCAACTTATCAGTGCATACGATTTACTTCCATTCCTGTTTGTCATATTTGCTCAGGCAAGTAACTTCTTCTTGTACTACACTGTCAGTAATGGTTTCTTGAAAAGCACAATTTCGTTGAGCTTGTATCTCACATGCAGATGACAAAGGTATGTAACTAAAATGCATACCAGGGAAATTCTTGTAGATGGCTGGTACCTTACTGGGGATATTTCTGTAGTCGGGGTTTGTCTGTAAAAAATACATATAAAAATATTGTGTGAGTTTTGCCTTTATGATTTACACATTAATAAACAGTTAACGAGATATAAACTTCACTAAATTGAACTAGAAAGAATTCTAAATCTAAATTCTTCAGAAAACAAATTCCCTGCTGCAGCCACTTCAGACAGTCTCATTGATAGTGTTACCAGACAGGTTCTGTGCTTAGTCCCTCCTTCCTTTTGTAACTGTATTTTTATGAACTGCACAGTTTTGATTTGGAGATGCATGAATCTTAGTATTAAGGGAATAACTATGCAACATGATTTGAGCCATGGTTTTACTCATTTATGCACATAGCAAGTTATCATTTAAATTTTACATTAACATATTTGTACCATTCATTTTAAGCAAGACTGTTGTTGTGGGTGATTTTAACATTCATATGGAGAAAGATAGTGATCCTTTGAAAATAGCGTTTGCAGCTATTCTTGACTCTCTAGGTGTATGTCAGAATGTAGTCGGGCCTACTCATGCCTGTAACCATACTCTTGATTTGATTATTAGTCATGGCATCTTGGTGGAACATGTATCTATTATGCCTCAGAGTCCTCTGCTCTCAGATCATTACTTGTTAAAGTTTGAAATCCAATATAGCCTCCTGTTTACCACAGTTCCAAAGTACAGAATCAGACGTTCCATTGCCTCACTAACTACAACAACATTTATGAAACAACTTCCACAGTCCTTCAGCCTTACTTCTGAAGCATCGTGTATAAATGAACTTGAACAGGCAACTGCAAACATGGAAAAATCCCTTCGTAGCACACTAGATCTTGTAGCCCCACTTAAGAAGATAAAGCACAGAGATAAGAAACTTGCCCCCTGGTACTCTGATCATACACGTGAACTCAAACAGGCATCACGCAAGCTAGAGTGCAAATGGCACTCAACTAAACTACAAGTTTGCAAATCTGCATGGAAAGAGAGCCTGTCTAAATACAGACAAGCACTAGTGACTGCTAGGTCTGTGTATCTCTCCAGATTAATAGACGGGAACAAAACCAATTCAAAATTCCTATTTGAATCCGTGGCTAGGTTAACACAGAATTCTTCATTAAACTCGCAAGTCCTGCAAGCTCTTAAGAGTAATGACTTTAATATGTTTTTTAATGGTAAAATAACTAAGATTAGACAGACCATCCAGTGCATGTCCTTAGCTACCTACGGCTGCCAGCCTCCTGCTAGTCTTATGCCTACCAATAATGAGACCTTTGAATCTTTCATTCCTATGAAACACTCAGAACTCTTGAGCTTAATTTCCTCCTGTAAATCCTCTACTAGCCTCGTAGACCCAATTCCTACAAAATTCTTCAAGGATATTGCACCGCAGATTAGCAATACCCTGTTAAATGTGTTAAACTCATCTCTTAAGCTTGGATATGTTCCAAAACCTTATAAAATGGCTGTTATTAGACCCGTCCTAAAGAAACCAAATCTTGAACCTAGTGTTTTAGGAAACTATAGACCTATCTCAAATCTTCCTTTTATTTCAAAGATCATGGAAAAGGTTGTAGTTCGTCAGTTGTCCTCTTTCCTACAAAAAAATAATACAAATGAATTATATCAGTCTGGCTTTAGACCAAACCATAGCACAGAAACTGCTCTAGTCAAAGTAATGAATGATTTACTTGACGGCTTCTAACCGTGGCTGTATATCTCTGTTGGTATTACTAGATTTAACTACAGCATTTGATACTGTGGACCATAATATCCTCTTGGACCGGTTAGAAGCTCTAGTTGGCATTACGGGGACAGCACTCTCTTGGTTCTGCTCATATTTAACTGATCGCTATCAGTATGCCCATGTGAACATCAAATCATCCAAGGCCACCAAAGTCACATATGGTGTCCCACAGGGATCAGTACTGAGCCCACTACTGTTTACCCTATACATGCTACCTCTTGGTAACATTATTAGAAATCATGGTGTTGGGTTTCATAGTTATGCAGAACCCTGTTAACCCTGATGATACATCACTCCTATCTAGGTTAGAAGACTGTTTATTAGATATCCGGTGCTGGATGACAAAAAAAATCCTAATGTTAAACACAGAAAAAACAGAAGTACTGGTAATTGGTCCCAAGGCTGCAAGAAATAAGTTTCACCACCTCAGCATTAGTGGCCTTCCTACACAACCTAACACAGTGGTTAGAAATCTTGGTCTTCTAGTTGATTCAAATGTATGTTTTGATGCTCACATAAGAAGTATTACTAGAACTGCGTTTTATCATCTACGAAACATAGCCAAGCTCCGTAAGATGCTCTCACTTCGTGATGCAGAAAAATTAATACATGCCTTTGTAACTTCCAGACTGGACTACTGTAATGCCCTCCTTTCTGGTTGCCCGTCTCGATCCTTATATAAACTTCAGCTGGTACAGAATGCAGCAGGCAGAGTTCTCACAAACACAAAAAAATTTGATCACATAACACCGGTCTTATCCTCCCTTCATTGGTTACCAGTTAAGTCTCGGATTGACTATAAAATACTGCTGTTAACCTATAAAGCACTGAATGGCCTTGCACCAGAATACCTTAGTGACCTGCTGACCTCATACAACCCCCCACGCTTGCTTCGTTCTCAAGGCGCGGGATATCTGTTAGTACCTAGGGTAGAAAGAGCTACGGCAGGCTGCAGAGCTTTCTCCTAGAGAGCTCCTCAGCTGTGGAATGGTCTTCCACCGGATGTGCGGATTTCAGGCTCACTCTCAATATTGAAGTCTAGACTAAAAACACACCTGTTTAGTTTAGCTTATAGGGACACTAGTTCTAGCTCTAGCTAACTCCTCACTCCCAGTTAGACCTATAGTGTGAGGTGTAGAGCTGGGTGGGGATCGGTGCCATTGGCTTTGGATAAACTGAATTGACAGTGCTGTCACTCTAGTTTCACATCGCTTGTGGGATTGGAGTGCTGACATTTCAGGGACTCCCCATGCCTGCATTCCCACTTGCCTCTCCCTCCTACTTATGCTGCCATAGCCATACAGTATCTGCCAGGGTTTGCACATTGCACTCCAAATTGCACTCATCTAACTTGTAGCACTGCCTATAGTATCCCCTACTTTGACTTAGGCCTGGACGATATGGCAAAAATTTATATCACGATATATTTCCTAATTTTGGTCGATACGATATAAT